GCGTCGCCGTAGATGACTATCTCGCGTCAGTTATTTTGCAATTCCAGTGGCCCGCGATAATACACACATCCGATACTGTCCCTCTCATATCCAATCTTTAGTTTCTTCCCAGCAACCACGCCCGTGAGCGTTTCTCCATCGGTCAAGTCGATAAAGTCGGTTTGCTCCATGAACTGATTGCCAGCGCCATCATAAACAGGTGAGAGATCGACGTAAGTATTGGCGTGGTCGTCCCAGCAATCCTGAGTGACGACTGCGTCGAAGGAACAGCGACCGGGTGTGAAGTCGGGACCGACACCTTGAGCGACTACAGAGGTAGTCAACAAGAGGAGCGCGGAGGCGACAAGGGTTAATATGATGAACATGTTGGTAATATTGGTGCTTCAAAGCCGGCGGGATGATTGAGGAAGGTATCAAGGGTAGGAATAGGCTGGGTTGGAAGATAAGTGTTGTAACAGGTGATATGACGTGATCGCTGGTCGCAAACGCTCAGACGTTGGGAATTTCAAGTAATGAATGTGTCGTGGTAATTCTGAGAATGAAGGGGTGATTCGAGGGTTAAGAGTGCCCAGGTGCCCACTGCACTTTCCTGGGACAGGGTAATGACTGGGCTTTCAGGATCCACGTTCGAACCAAAATTCGTCTCTTTGCCCGTCCGAGCCGCGATTCTTTGTTTCTGGTGCGAGTCCTCCTGACAGATCCGGCGATCTCGCGTTTGTCATTACGCCAACAAGCCACCTGTCGATGGAATGCTGCCCAAGATGTGAGAGACACCTGTAACTTGTGGTACATACTCCAATACTTGGCGCTACGTATGTGTAAAAAAGCCAACAATTAATGCGACGCTCACCATTGTCTGATGCGTAGACAGAAGCTTGTGGTGTGAGGTCGCGCCGGATCAGGTTGCCAAGGCTGATGCAGGTGTCGCGCCACCTATCTGGGTACCTACCGTACGTTGTAGGCAAGATTATTTTCTACCTTTGAACATGATGCATGACTTTGCATGTACGGCCCGTCGCACTGAAGAGGTTGAGAAGAACGTGCTGGCTAAGCACAGTCGCAGCTGCCGGTGATTTGTCGTTTTACGGACAAAGCATGAGAGCAAGCTCGCCATGTTTTCAGACCCTCGACTGACCAACAATTAGTTATACTTGACATATAAATGGCGGAATTCAATGAGCGACTTCGAAGTACCTAGACCGACACTGGCGATCAATCCGACATGTCGTTCGATGCATCTTCATCCCGCGCAGATGAACCGACGAGACCGCCGCTTTACGAGATGCAACCAGTTCCAGGAAAAGGAAGAGGCATTGTAGCTTGCTCTAACATACCAAAGGGAACACGAATACTGTGTGAGAAGCCACTTCTCACATTGGCTACCGAAATTGACAGCCTCGGTGATAACATCGTGAGGAAAGTCACAGCTCTTTCTAAGGATCAACAACGCCAGTATCTCAGCCTCTGCAAAAGCAACACCACCAGCAATGTCTTCACTGGTATCTTTCAGAGAAATGCTTTACCATGTGAGTCGACACCGCCGACCGTCGGCATTTTCCCGACTATCTGCCTAATCAACCACTCTTGTGTACCCAATTCACAACATAGCTGGAACAGCATGAAGAATATCCAGATGATACATGCAGTTAGCGACATTGAAAAGGGAGAGGAGATTACGATTTGCTACGGCGAGCAAGGGGCTTTCAATGCGCGACGTGATTATCTAACCAAATCGTTCGGTTTCGAGTGCGACTGCAGTGTCTGCTCGCTTCCAATCTCGGAAAGACAAGAGAGTGATGCTCGCCGTATTAGCATCGAGCAACTGGACAAGGTCATGGGCAATATGGAGCGCGCCATATCCAAACCAGGTATTACAATCTCTGCCGACCCCATTCTGAGGCACATTTTGCTAAGTCGTGATAGTAAGCACAACCTTTCAGATTGAAGCCAGACACGAGAACGAGTTTCCGCACACCTTTCATGACCTCCGCTAACTTTTGCTGGTGTGCTTTAGGGTGAAGTTTTAGCGCACTGCCGATACATGGTACGTCTCCTGAATGAAGAGTTCAGAGGTTGCGCCACTACCATGGAGTCGAAACTATACTTCGACGCCTTCCAGATCGCCATTATGCATGGTGATCAAGCTCGTGCCAGCGTCTTCGCGGGAAGAGGTTACGACGTCCGGCTCGTTTGCGATGGAGAGGATGGTCTGACAACACAGACGATGAAGAATTTCCAAGTCGATTCACATACACATCACCTCTTTGGATATTCTTCTCTGATATGGAAAACGAGCCAGGGTGATATTCCCGAAGGTCTGGGTGAGACGGAGTTTGAAGACTGGCTCTGGCAATCGGAATCAGGTTGATCTGCGAACCCGAAGGTGTAGAACTACCCACGCATGTGTTACAATGTTGATTTCATGGTGTGAGAGTAAACAGTGGGTTTGAGAGGTGATAGAGCGGCTTGACAACGTGATGAGATCCGTGTTTGCGCTTAGCTGGTGTAGAAAAGCTCACTCACTCACAATCTATTTCTTCTAGACCCCTACCATTCTCTTGCCTTCGTTCGTCACACAGCGAGCGCAGTAAAGTCTTTGCCAAAGCAACACAAGAGGGTGATAACCACGAAACTTTGCTTTCGCCTCAGCGGTCGCAAAAGATATACTTAACTGCTGCAATTAGTTTCACTACTGCCGCATCCCATACAATGAATTCCTCACTCTACGATGTTCGAAAGATCCCTGGAAAAGGCAGAGGCCTGGTCGCTCGCTCCGACATTCCTGAAGGCACCCGTATCCTCTCCGAGAAACCGCTGCTCATGATACCCAACAACATGTCCCACGAGCAACTGGAGGCTAGACTCGCACGAGATCTAAAGGCCCTGGACAAGACTCAGCAGCGACAGTTCTTTTCCCTCCATAACAGCTACACTGGCAAGTACGTCCTCGGTGGTATCTTCAAAACAAACTCGATGGCTTGCGGCAGCGACCTGTCTGCCATTGCAATCTTCCCCACCATTAGCTTCATCAATCACAGCTGCCTTCCAAATAGTCATTACAACTGGAATGACTCCATGGGGATGCAGACGATCCATGTCACTCGCGATCTCCGCGCTGGAGAAGAGATAAGTATCTGCTACACCGACTCTGGAAGTGCCAGTGTTCGCCAAGCTTACCTGAAGAAGCATTTCGGCTTCGACTGTTCGTGTGCAATCTGCTCGCTTCCAACTACTCACCGAAATGCCAGCGACGCGCGACGTGAGGAAATCTCTCGTCTTCAGGACACATTTGCTGAAGCAGATCGCGCAACGTCCAAGCCTGAAGAGGCATTCTTCGACCTTCGGAAGATAGTCGAACTCTTGAACAAGGTACGTGATTTTTAGTGAGACTGTAAGCCTATACTGATGGTTTCCAGGAGTTTAAAGGTGCTGCCAAAGTCCCGGAGGCGGATATCTACTGTTATGCGGTACAGCTTAGTCTCTTCCATAGTGATGAGGCGCGAGCAAGTGTATTCGCTGAGAGGGCGTACAAGGCGTTGCTCATCTGTGTGGGCGAAGACGGTGAGAATGCACAAGAGATGAAGGCCCTGATAGACAACCCAGCCTCTCACGCAGACTTTGGATCCTTGTCGAGCAGGTTGAGGTCTAAGAAGTACGATGCTCCAAGAGGAAGAGACTTTGGCAAGAGTCACTTCGAGGATTGGCTTTGGCATTCGGTCGAGAGGTTGGAGACGGCGGACCTTAGCGATGATTAGTGCGTCAACTGTCGGCGGGGGAGGACCTCGTAGCCAGTTCGGGGCTGCATCTTTGGGGCGAGTAAATTCGGATGCCTATGCGAATCAGAAATACTTTGTAATGGAGGATGCATCATATTTCCACAACACTGTGATCTTTCTCTGTGCTAGAGGGGATGTTGTACATGCGGCGACGTTGTTGAAAGCTTCGTAAGTAGTGCGCACTGCGCATTCCGACAGTGTTTCAGACGAAGACGATGAGAGGTGTTGTGCTTGCTGCTTCCAACGAAGTCAATGATCTGTTGTTCAGGAGTCGAGGACGCGAGAGGTGCGCGGCCTTTCGGGCCGATTTCGGCATAGATCAGCGCGCGAGCTGCACTCCAAGGTGGGCGGCGATGCTTCTGCATCCGCATCCCGCCCCCACCTCTGCACACTAGAGAAGCTCCATGCATGGAGCACCGAAGACCACGCGATGCTCTCTCATGCGATCGTTGTCGCGCGAAGAAGCTAAAGTGTTCGAAAGACGCGCCAATATGCACTTCCTGCGCCCATAGCGGCTCGCACTGCCATTACAGTGGCAAAGTCGCTAGATCACCCTTGACACGGGCATACCTTACGGGTGTAGAGAAGCGACTGCACAGTCTGGAGTCTCTGGTCACACAATTGCTACCTGGAGTTGATATTGAAGATTTGTTATCAGCTCCAAACGTGGCTGGCTCTGCACGTTCGGTTCTCATCCAGTCTCAGACGCCAGAAGTAGCACCAAGCCCCCAGGGCAGCACCCACTCAAGCACACATGAGCCTGCGTTACCTGAAGCTGTACCCAACAATGTCGATGGCTTCAATTGGCAAGAAGAAGACGTCAACGTCGATGGGCTGACCGATGGCATGGCCGCCCTGTCAGTCGAGCCTACTGGTGTAGGTTATTTGGGTCAGTTGCTTTACTCGAAGAGCAGAACGCGTGACTGAAACCATCTAGGCTCGACTTCTGGGGTCGTTTTCCTTCGATGTCTGCTTGACTGGGCCGGCTTTCTGCACCAGTCTGTTCCCCGGCCCCAACAGAGTGTGGCGACACCATCCGCTTCCTTTCGAAACGTATTGGCATCATCGCACATCTCGCATGCAGCTCTCACAACACAGCTGTCGTCGAGCTTGATTGATGCCTACTTTGCCAACTACCACGTAGTCTATCCATTCGTTCACGAAGCAACATTCCGAGCGCAGTACCATGAAGTCGTCCCACGGCCCTCAAAGAAGTCGTGGAACATGCTTTCTCATGCGATCATAGCACTTGGTGCGTGGTCGTTGAACAACGATCAAATTGGACTGGAAGACTACCTGTACCGTCGGGCGTTGACCTTGGGTCAGGAAGAGTCTGTGTTTGAAGCTGCCAGCCTGACCTCTGTACAAGCACTCATACTTCTGAGCAACCTTAGCCAGAAGCGCAATAGCCCAAACACAGGATGGAATTTGTTGGGCCTCGGCGTTCGCACAGCGCTGAGTCTAGCCCTCCACAGAGAACTTCCTCACTGGAACATCACCCTGATCGAGCGCGAGACGAGACGTAGAGTATGGTGGGGTCTCTACATCTTCGACAGTGGAGCTTCGACGACATTCGGTCGCGCTATCATGTTGCCTGACCAAGAGACTATGGATGTTCATCCCGTGCTGAACATTCATGACGAGGTATGGCCATCCAGTGAAGTTTGTATAGTCCTTGCGAAACTGACCCATGCTAGTCACTTACACCACAAACTATAACGCTACCCACTGAGGTTGACGAACCGACTATATACTCCTCTCTCAGAGTGCAGAGTAGTTTTCACCTACAGACGAACCACATCTCAAACAAACTACTAGCCGAACCCGGGCTCTCTGCGGAGGCCGCGCTCGCTTTGAACGCTTCCATGGATGCTTGGACACACACAGTTCCGACATATTTCCAGCTTTCGCATGCGCCCAGATCGACGGCTCCATGGTACTCATTCGCCCGCTCTCGGCTGTGGTGGAGGTTCTGGAATCTCAAGATTATCATCTTCCGACAGATATTGTTGCGCCGAGCCATCTCCGAGCGAGGTCAGATCCCAGACCAAGCCATGCAGTCAAGCCAAGAGGACTGTAAGCGAATTTGTCTTGAAGCCGCGCATTCTACAGTGGTTTCGATACATCAGTATGCAAAACAGGACTTGAATAGACTTGAGGGCTGGTACGCGACGTAAGTACTTGAATTGGACCGCAAATGAACACATGTGCTAATGTATTTACAGGTATTTCCTTTTCCACGCGGCACTAGTAATAACTCTTTGCATCATCAGCTTCCCACGCGCTGAAGAGACTGCAATCTGGTACGACGATGTTCGCTTGGCCCGAACCACTTTCCGCGAACGGCTTGTTGGGGATTCGCTGTCAGCACGCTGCGTGGCCATCCTTGACCAAGTGGTGTCTGACGGCGAGTTGGACTCCGGTACACTGCAGGACCTGGAGCTGGACAAAGATGCCTTGAGTACATTTCCATGGTCCGTTGAGTCCAATGAGTTATTCAACTCTTTCGATTGGGATTTTACTACGTCCGGTTTCTAACCCCGGGCGCAATCTTAATGGCACGATTCCTCAATTCTCGATGATGACATCCGGCTTTACCATCATGGATCGTATCAGTTCGCCGTTGGGAATGTCATTCTCCTCTGCTCGAGCGATTGCAGCTGACATCGACGTCTCGATGCCAGCAGCAAGGTGACGTTGTGCTAACCTACCACGAACTGTGTCCACAGGCGCGTCGACAAACCATCTGCAGGGTGTCAGTACCAACCCGCCAGGCGATAATATGACTATGACCAACCTCTCATCACACATCTCTGCAATCTGATCCCATGGGTCTTGTTTCAAAAGCGTGTAGTTGCCTTCAACAATAACAAGTCGAGTACGAGAAGAGATCTTGATAGCGTCTTGCACGGGGTCCTTGACAGCATGGTCGAAGCCAGGTGCAGGAATACAGATGTCGGCTTCGCCATCCTTGGTGACGGGAGCTTCTTTGAGTGTCTTGACAAGCGTCACACACGCCTTCGCATCAAATGTAAACGGCGCCCCACGCCTTTTGAACGCTACTTCGGCATCATCGAAAGTCGACAGGATTTCTCGAGTGTAGTGGAAGCCGTCCTAGTGGTCGTCAGAGATGTGTCATCACGGGTTTCGGTTGGCTCCTACCATCGGTACAACAGCAACATCTTTGATGCCTCGTGCAGCAAGCTCGGAGACGAGCGCATCAGACACCGTTGACTTTCCCGCGCCTGGCACGCCCGCAAGAGCAACAAGCATGCGATGACCGGGATTGGTCGCTTGGCGAGACAGAAGGTTTTCCGTGCGCTTGGCCACATCGAGTATGGATGCACGCAAGGCGTCCACCTTTGATTCGGCTGGCATCATTGGCTACCCTGGAATAGCAGACACGAAATTCTTAATGAGATGCGAAAATGTATAAGATGTTTTGGGTAAAAAGACTGGCATGAGGTCAGCAGTGTTACAGCACTGCATGCGACGAGCTATGATCTAAAGATCACGTTGGCGTTGTGGAGTTCGTCGGGCGACAGCTGTCCGAACATAAGTCATGTTGGAGCCCCAGTTCCCACAACTGAATCAGGCAACTTTACCATGCGGGGATCCCCGCATGGCACTTACGACTACCGGCGTAGACGCATGGAGAATCGTGGAGTCGGACGACAGTGCTCCGAAGGTGTCAAATCCCAGCTGCGATCGTGAAGTTCTCACGCGATCGGCAAAGGTATATAAGTACGCGACACTACCACCACTAGGCTACCTACTCATAGCTGATTTCAACCATCGGAGCCATCATTGGCATGTCCAAAAAGAAGACGACCAGCATGTCTTCAATTCAGGATGTTACCGCCGCCGGAGCTGCGCCAAAGATTGGCGTCTACAAGGAGCTGAGACAAAACCCATATCTCCTTGGGCTATCCGCCGTAAGTTGGTATCGAGCCTAACTTATCTCAGTTTCAGCTAACATGCGTAGTTCGCCTCGCTGGGCGGTTTCCTCTTCGGTTATGATCAAGGTGTCGTCTCTGGGGTGCTGACGATGGAGTCCTTCGCGGCATCCTTCCCGAGAATCTCTACAGACAGCTCCTTCAAGGGCTGGTTTGTCTCGACATTGCTACTCGCTGCTTGGTTCGGTTCTCTCGTCAACGGCCCAGTAGCCGATCGCTTTGGTCGCAAAGGATCTATTATCATAGCTGTCGTCATCTTCACCATTGGCTCTGCGCTTCAAGCTGGCGCGATCAACATTCCGATGGCTTTTGCAGGTACGGAATATCTGGCGACATATGAGTCCAATCCAGGCTGACAATACACACAGGCCGCGCAATCGCTGGTTTCGCCGTTGGTATGTTAACGATGATTGTACCAATGTACATGAGTGAGGTCTCAACTGCCGGCATCAGAGGCACTCTGGTCGTTCTCCAACAGCTTTCCATCACACTCGGTATCCTTGTCTCCTACTGGCTCGAGTTCGGTACCCAGTACATTGGAGGCGTACGCTGCGCGCCCGACATCCCGTATACTGGTGGCACTGCAGCAGAGCCTACCTTCGACCCACGAAACGACGTTGGCCCGAACGGCTGCACCGGTCAGAGCGATGCTGCGTGGCGCGTTCCTTTTGCGCTCCAGATATTCCCCGGTCTTGTTCTCGGTATCGGTATGCTGTTCTTCCCCGAATCACCTCGCTACTACTGCATGCGCGACAACGAGGATGCTGGTGTGAGAGCGCTCGCCCGAGTTCGTCGCACCTCTCCAGATGATGAGTCTCTGCAAAAGGAGTATCTTTCCATCAAAGCCGAAGTCATGTTTGAAGAACAATACAACCGCGAGAAATTTCCGGGCAAGTCTGGGGTTTCGCTGTACCTTTCCGGTTACTCAACGCTTTTTTCGACCTGGCCATCTTTCAAGCGTACTGCTATCGGTTGCTGTGTCATGTTCTTCCAACAGTTCATCGGATGTAATGCGATCATCTACTACGCGCCGACAATCTTTGGTCAGCTAGGCCTCAGTGGTAAGACGACTGGTCTGCTCGCAACAGGTGTTTATGGAATAGGTATGTGATCTGCTGTCAGACGCCACGAAATTTGATTACTAACTCGACCCTCTAGTCAACACATTGTCTACTCTTCCTGCGCTCTTCCTCATCGACAAGATCGGCCGCCGCCCTCTCCTCCTCTGCGGTGCCGCCGGTACTTGCATCTCCCTCTTGATTGTCGGTGGTGTCATTGGCGGTTACGGATCTACTCTCAAAGATCACCCCGCAGCTGGTTGGACCGGTATCGCATTCATCTACATCTACGACGTCAACTTCTCGTACTCTTGGGCACCGATCGGTTGGGTCCTACCCTCGGAGATTTACAACATCGGTAACCGCTCAAAAGCCATGTCTCTGACCACCTCATCGACATGGATGTGCAACTTCATTATCGGTCTTGTCACGCCCGATATGCTGGAAACCATTGGTTTCGGTACATACATCTTCTTTGCTGCTTTCGCTCTGATCGCATTTGTGTTCACGTGGTTCCTGATACCCGAGACCAGGGGCAAGAGCCTGGAAGAGATGGACGCTGTGTTCGGTGACAGCACTGCACACGAGGAGAAGACGAGGCTGTACAACATTGCGCAGAGTCTGGGACTGGAAGAGGCTGAGGCTGCGGCATTCGATGAGAAGCCCATGAAGGCGCTGCAGACCGAGGTGACGAACGTATAAGAATAGTCTACATAGATGGCGGCAGTACATCAGATATCCGTTAACTATAACAGATGATGTAGACAATCATGACAAATCTTCCCATTCACGACAAAAGACAGAAGCTAAACACCGTGAAGCGTACGTTAACACTAGGTCTCCTTGTTTGCTCAATATTATCCTGACGTAGGCTGCAGGCCTGTTCATTTTCTTCTTTATTGATCTGCTGTCCAATCCCTCATCTATAACTATCGTCCAACTGGTCAAGCGTGGTCATATCATGCTGGTTGAGAATCCTGCATTGACTCGTCTTCATCTTCATCATCATAATAATCACTTTCCTCATACTCGTCATCCCCAAAGTCATCCTCTTCATCCTCAGAGTTGTCTTCAGAATCAGCCATCCATCCCGTCATCCGTACCTTCTTGCGTTCGTTACAAATTTGAGCTCGGCATTCCGGACAGAGATTGGAGTTCGGGGAAGAGCCATTCATCCATTTCTTGATGCAAGCGAAGTGGAGGTAGTGATCACAAGCGCTTATTTTGACACCCAATAGGCCGTGAGGCTCAAGACACACAACGCAGAGCTGGTCTTGAGGGATGTCTAGATCCCATTTTGCATGCTCTAGTGGCTGTATGCAAGGTCCGTATGCCTCTAAATAAGCCTTGCCGTAGACGTTGCGTAGGGTGTTCGTGTCGAGGTTGTTTTCATCTTCGGTGTCGTCGGCAGTGTTTTGTCCGTTGTCGCTTTGCGCGCTCTGTGCGTTTTCTGCTGATGACGCCCCAGCCGATGCAGCTACTGGCCCGTGTGGCTTTGCGAACCAAAACGCGTGTATCTCCTCGCTTTCGTAGGAGTCGTTGCCAATAGTTTGCGCCTGAGCCATATTTCGTGGAACGCCTCCGAACTCGCCCTTTCTAATGCCATCTGCTGACAGCGAAGAAGCGGCTTCGGGTATCTCTTTCCATGTTCGGAATTGTAGGCCTCCATCCCTCCACAGCCCTCTTAGCAGAGCCCTCATATTCACAGTCTGCGATTTCGACTGGATCGAGGCCCTGGCAAACTGGTTTATCATTCCTTGGTACATGCGGTCTACAATGGGCTTTTCTATGCTCAAGGCAAAAGCCTCAAGCCACAGATCATACCAGATATCCCTGAACTTGATTTCTTTCAATGCGACTCTCGTATGGTAAGGGAGCGCCTTGATTTGATCTCCGCGAAGTGATGGAGTTGCTTGAACTATATCTTTGAAGCGGGCGCGTGCCTCTACAAAGCCGCCGAGATAGGTCGCGTACGATGGATATAAACATGGGTTTCTTTCCCAGATTGCGACTACGTTGAGTGTGATGTCCATTACGATATCGAGCAGGCTTGCTATAGATGCTTCGTCGCAACGGGACCACATGGTGAAAAGACGGAGCGCGGGTTGGATGGCTGTCATAGTTTGGCAGTACTCCTCCTCTCCCCGGTAGTCATGACTATCGTTGTATTTTGGTTGAGGCGTAAGAAGTTGCTGAAGCGCCGTCCTCGCCCCGGCGTGATAAGCCACTCCATCCGGTAGTCGTATCAGTGCGCACTCGACAAGCCACCTGACACCGCGAGTTACTGTCGTGTATCCTTCACCTTTGTCCCAAAGTACTTCTCCCGACATCAAGTCCGTCTGATCGGTGTACTCATCCACAACGTGCGAATACTGTCCTCGGTAGAAGATACCAGGCAGGACTCGTCTTACGGATTGCCTAGTTTGAAACTGCGGTGCTTCCGGGTCCACGAGTTCCGGTATTGTAGCGCACACATCGTCGTATCGTTGAGGGGTGGGTGTGTACACAAGGCAGTACTCATCGGCTTCGCGTTGACTGAGTATACCTGCGAAGAATCGAATGATGAGCTGGGATCCATAGGGTGCGTCTAGGAACCTCTCGATGGCGTTGGACAGTTCAGGAATATAGCGCGGTTCAGGCTCGCGATCATCGAGTTCGCAGTCTCTGTCGGCTTCCTGCATCGGCGCGGTCTTGACGGGAACGGACATGGATTTTCGGCGTCTGAGTGCGGCTGGGAAGGAGGGCAGGAGCAAAGACTGTTTTTACCGCCGAAAGCTTGGACGTAGCAAACACTCATCCGACTAACAATGACAGTGAAAGCGTTTCGATCCTCTTCTCATCACGTAACACCACGGTAGCAAAGAAGTATATGGCGAACCCCCACAGGAGGTATATGTTTGTACACTAAATGCTAGCAATACAACGCCGCCGCCGAAGAAAGTAAGAGCGCAGTAATGCGACTAACAGGTACAAGGCTACTTGTGATACACGAGCAAGAAAAACCAAAAAGCGAGCGCTATGTCAGAGCAATCAAGAGGGGTATTAGAGACAGTAGCGAAGATATAAACCAGCCACCACCAGGGCTCCTATAAGGATACATATTCCGCGCAGCGAGCGAGCGAATGATGCAGGCCGGAAGAAAACAGAGATGTAAAATGGGGGATGACAAGCAGAGGTATAAAGAAGCGAACAAGAAAGTAGAACCCCAGCCCAAGACCAAAGTTCTCCCAAGATTTCGTTCCACATAATGCGTCCCACAATCCCCAGAACGCCGGTTGAGGATAAGAGGAAACAAGCCCCTAGGGTATACTGAAAAAGCAAATGATGTAACTCACAACGAGCGAGCGTCTAGAATCTCGACCCCGCCCTCAAACTCCCGTTTGCGCTTGTGCTGCGCGCGGTGCTAGCACCACTTCCAGCTCGCTTCATGCGCTTCTCCATCAGCCCGTTGAGCAAACGGTCTAGTTCGCCACTCAGTCCTTGCATGGTCTTTGTCTCCTCGGAGAGATAGTCCTTCATCAGTGGATGATCGCGACCAACAGGTACAACACCCGTAGTGTCGTTGATAACGACGAGCATATCACGGATCTCGCTGCCGTCATCGAGGTAAGCGCGGAGTGAGGCGTCGGACCATGCAGGAAGCATTGTGCTTTCCGAGGATACGGGCGGCGAAGGTTCGCGATCCTTGGTAGGGATTGGTGCTGGTCGTGAAGGTGGAGGACCGGCCGGTTCAGATGCATGATGCGTGGGTGAGGAAGTGTTGTCAGACCTGAAAGTCGAAATCGTATTGTTCTCCGGAATGGTTTTCATAGGGCTGTCGTCAGGCGTAGGCGTCGAAATGGGGGAGCTGGTCTCCTGACTTGAGCTATCGGTAGACAGGCCCGGAGTGTGGTGGGATTCAGGCTCTCTTTCTCTGTCGGCAGCACTCTCCTTCTGTGAAGGTTGTGCGTCCGCTGCGGAGACGTGTACTGGAGACTCAGAAAGGCGTCCAGCAGACTCGGACTTCCCAACCTCGCCTGGCTTATCCTGAGCATCAGGATCCGCGAAAGGATCGCTGCTTTCATCTGAATCGAAATCATCCAACTGCACGCGCTGCTTCGCCTTGGTGACCTTCTCGCGCTTGACCTCTCCTTCTTGTGGTGACTTCATCATGCTACTGAATGGGTTTCTTGAACCTGTAGGCGCGGATGTTGAGTCTGGCGACATGGTCTGTTCTTCTACAGAAGGCCCGTTTGCCTGATCCTGTTCGGGCGGAACTAAACGCATGGTCGACGTAGATTGTTGCGCGGCGGACTGATCGTCCGGTCCATCCGACATGACATCTGGCTCGGCGCTCAACTCAGTCGGACTCTCGGTTTTCAAGATACCCTTTGTCTTTTGCGGTGAATCGTCTCGGTTACGTTGACTTCGATGCACCTTGGGCTTGCTCAATTGTCTCAGCGGTGCTGGAGCTGTTGCTTGTTCAGCTGATGGTCGTTCTGCGAGTTCATCCGATGGTTTCGATTGCGGCGAGCTGCGATCCATTTCCTCCGGCTTCTCGATGTCGCTGTCCACAGAGTCTTGTGCGCCCTTGCCTTTACGATCCTTGCGCTTGAAAAGCCCACTGAGCATGCCTGACTTCTTCTCCTTCTTCTTTTTGTCGTCCTTGACCTTGTCCGCGAACCCATTCTTCTCCAAACTTTCGAGGCTGGGGCCGCGCTCGCGGGAGCCTGTAGTCGATGTACTGGAGTCGTCGCGGAGCAGGTTGGGAGTGAGGGTGATTTTGCGTGTCTCGGTGTTTTCGTCTTTGAAGAAGGAGTCTGTGTTGCGGAGCGTGCCATTTCGAGAGACTTTGGGGTCCAAAGGTCGATCGACCGCATCTTCGCTACCCCTTTCACGGTCTTCGCTTCGTTTGGCAGATTCCTCGCTTGAGCCCCGTGCTTCACCATCAGCCTGGCCATCCTTCTTCGCGCCGTTAACCTTGAGAGGTTGTACTTCGAGGTTTTCTTCCTGTGTGGAATCGCCATCTTGTGTTGCTACCTGCTGCTGTTGCATTTGCTTTGGCTCTGGGCCACCGAAAAGCTCACCTTCGCCCTCATCAGATGAGTAGTCGTAGTCCGAGGCTTCGACGTAGGTAGGAGGAGCGAATTGTACGGTCTTAGCATTCCTTCGCCGCATAGCCTTCTTGAGCGGGTTCTTGGATTTCTCGGCAGTGTCACCAAGCATCGTTGCGGAGAGGTCTATATTTCTGTGCTTGTTGAGGCGGGCCAGACGTTCTGTCGGTGTCTCGATGTGTTCGGCGGGCAGGTAACCTGTAGATTGAGTCAGCAAAAGCTTCAAATTGGTGACGGATGCCTACCGATGCTGTTGTCCTTGACTACTCGCACTAGCCACCAGTAGCTGTTACTGTCGTCAAGTAACACCATCGTGTCACCTTTCGTTGCATTTGCCTGACCCTCCACGGTCGCGACAAAGGTGTGCAGAGCGTAAACGAATTCGAAGTCGATATCCTCTGTTTCTCGTAAGCATTCGCCTCCCCATCCTGAGTCGATAAATCTGGAATCATCAGAGAAAGAGACGTCGTTGGATGCATCATCGTTGTCTTGGTCCATGTCCTCATTCCAGGAGTCGGCGTCGCTGTCGGTGGTCCAAGAGCCCTCCTCGTCTTCGGAGTGACCATCGTCGGGGGAAGGGGTGCTGCTCGTCCCTCGAGGTGGACCTGGGCCGGGTTCTTGGAACGGATCGTCCGGCGTGTCCAGAAGTGCGCGGTTGATCGGTTTCAACATGCTTTTGACCTGCTCCTCGTCCAGTTCAGAGATTAGTGATGCCTGTGAGTCTTCTCTCATCTCGATACGGCGTTCGACGGCCTTGAGTTGTCTCGTCCTCGGGCTCATACCGACCTCAATCCGTATGGTGTCGCTGTCGTCCGGTGCGTTGGTGGCCCTTGTCCAGGAATACTCACCACGATGATGCTCCGCTGACTGATTTTCCGTGGGTATAGGGAATCGAAAAGAAATGGGAATCGATGTAGGTCGATTCCTTGACATAGGAGAAGTGTCGGACGCTGGGACACTGAGTGGTCTTCGAGCGTTGGCGACAGAAATAGGAAAATGAATGGGCGTGTTCGTAAACGGGGAGGAAGAAGCGACCGTTGAGAGGAACGGCGAAGACTGCGGAGTCGTAAACTCTTGTCTTGCCGACCAGGTCGTGGGGGAACAAGGTAAAGAATACCCACCATCGTCTATCGAGGGCGAACTCGAAATCTTGTCCATCATATCGTCGTCCATGTCCTCCTCGACGTCGGCGTCCTGCATGTCGCCATCATCACCGTCGTTGGACGTTCCACCATTCAGCCTGACAGCCTGCTCGTCTTGCTGTGAGCCCTTGTTTCCATTGATAACAGTGCGGTCGTCATCTGAGCCGGGATCGTCTCGTAGCGTGTTGCCAGCATCGCTCCATGCATCGTGCAGACGCGCTTCCTCTGAGGTGCGCTCCTGCTCTACATGCCGTATCGCAGCCTGCTGGTGAGGCGCTGCTGGGCCAATACCGAGCGGCGCAGGGTGTTGGGGCTGCTGGGAGTGGTCTTGGGCGGTGGGCGATGATTTGTCCTGCAGGTCGATGGTGTCTACGCACTTTAGTTAGCCTGCGCACCTCAATTGCGCACTCTCTACGGTCTCCGTACCTGCTCTGATGATGTGCGGTCGCGTCATCCTAGCTCATTCCTCTCTGCGCGTGCAACGGTTGGGGATCTTCGTTCGGAGGAATGGCTAGGTGAGATGAGGCGCAATCGGTGGCTGGGTCGACTGGCGCAGGGTCACCGTAGCGCGACTCCAGTTGCCGTGGAAATACAACAATACAAAGAGCAAAGAATCGCGGACGTGGGTCGATGAGGGCGTTACAGGTGTCGCATGCGTTATCTGGGCGTGTTTCGAGGAAGGAGCGGCTGAGGGTCGGGCGAGGGTGAAGCGGAGGCAGATCCGTTGGGGGACATGCGAGTCTCTGACGCGGCAGCGAGGGCGAGACGGCGGCACAGCGAGACAGCAAGAGGGCGAAGGGATGGCGATGAATGCGTCGCTGCTGACAGTGAGGGGCACGTCGTGGGCGGTGCAGTGGTGAAAGTAACGTCGTATGGCACGAGAGTGAACTGTTTCGGGGTCGCGCCTTCCCGAAGTTGTGCCCTGTCTAGGTCAACTTGAAACACCTCACTTCTAGTTCCTGCGCTAGCCTGTTCCTGGTCATCCCCATCGCAAAAAGGAGATGCGGCTCGGTCCTTCTATATCACCGCTTTAATGACCGCATCTGCAGCCAACTCCTATCTGATTGCCCGTCTTGTCCTGAACGCATGATGCGTTCGCGGAGTCGTTTCCGCATGGGCGATGTTATGTGGGGATCCCGGCTGCAACAACAAGCCGCCAAACACTAACTTGGAACAATGCCAAACGTCATTGACTCTGGCAGCTTGCGACAGCAGCACTACGCCATGTCGCACAAACTGTCTCAAGTTCACGAGTTCTAGAAACATGTTTAGATAGCGCAGGACAAGGTTCTTCCTGTCTTCTTGCGAACGCCGAATGGCTTGGTAGTCCCTACGTATCTATGGGAGGCTTGGCAGCGCAGTGTACTTCGAATGGCGCTACTACATGGACTATCACGACTAGATGTTTGTTCTGCGAATGTTGCAGATAGCGTAGTATGGTGTACACCTTGGAAGCCACTATGTGAACCAGTGATAATCAGCATGTTCAAACTCTTCAGCACTGGCCGAACATATATGTACCGCATTCGCATTAATCGATATCAATTGCTGGACTCATGAGCTTCTGCGTATCATGTCTATCGAGACGTCTCCAACCATCCCACTGGAGCTCAGCATATCATCTACTCAACTTCACCAAACGTCCGTAATCAAATTCCATCGTCCGAAACCTTTTCGAAATATGAAGAGTTCTTCCAGCCACAGACGCGCATGTTGACGAATTTCTCAATGTCTTCGTCGGAAACCTGTTCCTTCCCCGCAAGTTCATCCAGCATCCATGCCAGGACCATCAGGTCCTCTGGATCCAACCACCCCTTGAAACGTGATAAGCTATTTTTCTCCCCTTCGAGACTGTACTTAAACCCGTCGTCCGTGTTATCTATCAATGCTGATCCGACTACTACGTATCTGTGATCATCCAATTCTCTGAGTATCAACCCGTAGCTACCATGCGAAAAAGGAAGTCGTTCGTCAACCACGCACCAATCACCCACTTTAGTGTCAGCATGTGCGCGCACCGTGATTCGTGAGCCTATTCGTATTAAAACAAAGCGTCCGTTCTGCACTTGCTCTACATGTCATGAGTGTAGATTGCTCTGAATTCGGCCGTCGGCATACTCGTAGATTCGATTACCTTCCACAATATGTATGCCCCTGGACTTCCTTTGAACTTTGGCAATATCGGAGTCATGATTGTCTTGTAATCGAAGGTCCGTTTGAGGTGCTGCGCTCGAACGTAACGCAATGGCGTCACGTAAAGATGCTAGTCCCAATGTGATATCGAAGAGTTTTAATAACAGAGAACACTGATATGTAAGGAGTTGATAGATTTCGTCAGAAGCCCAAGAGCTGAGAACGTGTTTAGCGACATTGAAGTTATCCTTGGTGTAATCCGGGGTTGGTCCCTGTCCATCTGGCCACCTTACGAGGGACAGAATACCGTATAGATTGTCTCGAGCGTCCACGCAATTGAAGCACTCAAGCATCTGCAAAACCTCACCCAGACTCGGCTTTCGTGCTGATGCACTGAGTCGTAAACAGCCCCGATGGGCCACTGTATCAAAGAAACCCGCCCAAAGCGATTGCCAGGAATTCTTCGAGGGTCTGTCATCCAGAACACACCTCTGCAAAAACCATCTCTGGTACTTTCTTTTTGACCACAAATACATCGTATCGTGACGGTTGATCCAGTATTCAATCAGTGAATCCAATGCTCGGAAATGCTCGCCTGGCAGCACGTCCACCCCACAACAATAGGACACTTTGGTGGCTAGATGCAGCTCTTGTAAGACCCAGACGCGTGTGAAATAAGGCCTCTTCATGAATGCTATGAACGCTTCACTCGTTCTCAATCGTTCCGATGTACGCATAGTAAAGAGACACTGCAGTTGTCGTCGCACATGCCTGGACATTGGATTGTTCCAGGAGTGATCCGTGCCGATCGTATTATACCCGACGAGCGATCGGCCCCATAGGTAAACTTTCTCGAGATAAAGTCGCTGCGAATCTATAGTTGCCATTAGGTACTCACTGTCATTGGCATGTGGCCCAACACACGCGAGAACGTGCTTCGCTCCCGAGTAGATCTTGCCCATAATGCCGACTTGGTGATTCCTCTCCTGTATACTCGTCTGCGCAATACAGATGGCATCAACCCAATAATACTGACAGGCCTTCGTTACAAAGGCTTGTTGAAGGACGTATTCGCAGTTCCGACGTACAGCCAGCGGCTTGCCGTTGACAGTAATTTTGGTCATGTCAGCTGGGTCGCCCCAGGTATACGATATCGCGTAGTAGGACGGTGCATCGTCGATTGGCCATGAGGATATTTCGCATTCGACGTGCTGGCCAAAGTCGCCGCGCAGGATGTGTAGTAGGCGGAAATGTGTAGCGGAGTCGGGAAGTGGGTCGTGCTCGAACGCGGAAGATGGGGTTTCGCTGGTCATGCTCGCGCGTAGTTGGGAAGCTGCGAAGCTTCGGGGAAGGTGCGCGACGTGCGCGACTTTGATGTACGGAATAGCGTTTGATGAAGATGTTCTGTGTTCTTGGTTCTGGTCTATTGTAAAGATGGGATGGACGGACAACCGTCGGAAGGCTGAGATGCTGCCTGCCCATCAACTCAACCAGGCTGAGCTGATCCCCTGCCGCAGTCAGCCATGCGGAGGTTGTGCGGCAGCGTCTCGCGCCTCGCACCCTCAACCTCCAACATCATGCTTACGTTCTACATGTTTCCCTTCACGGACTAGGTAATACAACGAACTTTCGTTCTGATCGACATGTCCGCCACGGCTTCTCGCTTCGATTGCGCTGTACTGTACGAGGTGCCGACGAGCTCCAATCTGTCGTTGCATACATGAACGACTTTGCCATCGTGAGAGATCAATCGCATGCATCAGGTTCAAGGTGTAAAAAAGACAATGACGGTGCGCAGCTCAATTCGTGCATGAAGAAAGAATGCTTGGTCTGCACGATCACACCTGAACAAGCGGATCGCGCGGAGATTTGTTCTCACGGAATTTCTTCGGCTTATGGACTCCATATCGGTATTACGCAGCGACGAAACCTTCGCACTTCGAGGTCAGCTATATCCTTTAGAGAGCGTTTTCGTTGTTTCATTCTCTGCGTGCTTTACACACGTCATAAACCCGCTCAAAACTCCCTTCCAATTCCCACCCAGCCCTATCCGTACTAAACGGCCCACGTTTGTGGATCTTTCCGGGCCGATGGACAGAAGCTAGTCCTCGTACAGCCCTTGCGTGCCCCTTTCCGGACAGTGCACATCGGCCCGTGTACCTCATCTAGCTTTGAAGTCTTCCAGAAGACCACTTTTGTTAATTTTAGAACACGACCGTCATCTTCGGTCTTCAGGCTTGAATGTCAATGGACAGAACCGTTGAAACTTCGTGTGGGTATCCTTGTAAACACGATGTTCAGGCTGTATTACTGAGTAGCGCGAGCGCAGGTACTAATATATACCTCCGTCATGCCGCCTACTACTTCCTCCTTCAAGTCAAGAGCATCTCATCTCTTGATACTCACAACACCGTCTCACCATCCTTCACCATGGTGGCCCAAATGAAGAAGCTCCTGGCCGTCGCTACCACCGTCTCGGCATCCGTTCTTGAGTTGCCCGTCGTCATCGACAACAGCTATGCCAGCGTCAAATTCGAAATCGGAACACCCCCGAAGGAACACCGGTTGTTGTTCGACACCGGGTCATCAACGCTATTCGTCGTGAACACCGACTGCACCGAGGAATCTTGCCCAGACGGCAGGGTCACGTCCTACGTTCGAGAGAAATACAACGCATCTGCCTCATCAACGTCAGTCGACCTCAACATCCCCGCGGCGATTCCATACCTCGGCGGCGATGTTGCCGGCGATACTATCCAGGACGTTTTCAGCACTCTAGACGGTAGCGTAGAGTGGAACCAGACATTCCTGTCTGCCAACCAGAGCAGCTGGCGTTTCATCACTGCTGATGGTTTCCTCGGCCTGGGTTTCTCTTCCATCGCGGAAAAGAACACGTCGACCCTGGTCGAGACATTGTTGTGGGACGGAAAACTGGACGCATCGCGTTTCAGTCTATTCTACGGGACGAACTTTGAGGACGCGGGTAACGGTACGCAAGATGGTGTGCTAACCGTCGGCGGCAGCCATGAGGACAAGTACGTTGATGGCGAGGTGGTCTCCACGCCCTTGAGGAAAGAGGATCCATACCAGCTCTGGAGGGCGCCACTAAGGAGCATCAACGTACTCGTTGCGGAGAACGTATCGGAAACAAACGCAACCATTGAGATACACAACGGCCACCTTCCCACCACTGCCGTGTCGGACGGCGGTGAACCAGACGCCAACGTAACATGGTCAATCTACCAAGGTGGAGCGGTTTTCGATACTGGATCTGGACGTGTCTCCTTCCCGAGCGACATCATCGACGCCATGTACTTCAACCTTGGCTGGAATTACACTAAGCTCACCAACCACGGCGAAGAGATCATGGAGTGTAAGCACCTGAACGCTTCGTGGGCCATCACTTTGACACTTGGCGAGGGCGCCCGAGAGGACGATGTCTCATTCACCCTTCGAGGCGACGAGTTCCTCTTGCCAGGCCACCAATGCATGCCGCCATTTGACAGCAGCGAGAGCGAAGGTTTCGCGTTGATCGGCGCTCCGTTCCTGCGAAGACATTACTCCGTCTTCGACTTTGGTGCTGACAAGGTCGAGGACTACCAGCCGACCATTGGTTTCGGAAGGTTGAAGAAGGAGTACGATTTCATGTACTTGTGATCACGGGTCATGCAACTTTGTTCTGTTCTTTGTAAATATACGTAGTTTGCTGCAAGATGGAATCCAGATGCGCTCGCGCAACAACATATATCAAGATGTGCCAGCTTTCCTGTCTACTTCCTTTATCTCCAGATGGGGTCGCCCAGTACCTCTCGCAACTCGCATGTGCAACGTGAGAACTTTTGAATCGGGTTTGATCTTTTCAATCTTTTGCATTCTAGCGTCGCCCATTGTATCGAAGTAGCGGAGCTCTTCAAGATTATCGCGGTAATGCTTGTGGAACTTCTTCTGTATGCTGATCCACTGGTCTCCGACTACTACCGTAGCCGACCAATGACCGTTCCTGAAGAAGAACACGAATGCGAATATGGGATACGCATCCTTCTTGAACTCCATGTAGCCTATGATGGCGCCCGTGTGTGTTGCATGCAGCCACTTTGCAGCCGGATCCCATATGCCACGAGGTTCGACTCGACTGACATGCACTCCGGCGGGCTTCTCTACCCGCATGACCTTTTCCATGATCGTCGAAGCTTGCGGACCCGTCAACGACTTGACCGCAGTAAATTCAGTGTAGGTCACTTCCGTCTTGACCCTAGGGCACTCTTGAGGCAGCGCGCGAACGAACAGGTCCGGCCCGACTCTCCTGAGGTAAATTCCAACCGGTCTGCCGACCGCGCCCAGCGAATGTTTCACTGGTAGTATAGCAAGTCCAGTATCGTGATCCCAGGCGAGTCCCAGTTTCAGTCGGATGCCACGGTTTGTCATGTAAAAGTCTCGTGGTTTGACAGCCGGTTCCGGGGTGATTGATCGCATTTGTCGGAAACAGCTTGGAGAAGGAGCAAGGAGACCTGATAGCTTGTGATACGAGAAGGCATCATTCCAAAGGAAGAGCGAGTCATCGGCAGTTTCGCTGAGTATGTGTTCCTGCAACCGGATGAACGCTTTTGACCCCTCTCCGTAGAGCATTGCCATGTTGATGTCGAATATTCCCATGAGACTATAGGCAATGTCTTCTTCCCTAGTAGTCTTGCGCGTAGACGCCCAAGAAAACCTCTGAGCAACAGGCACTTCGCTTAGCTCCATCTGGTGTTTAAGAATGTCGTCCGGAATGCCTGTGATTTCCGTGATCTGATCCGCTAAGCTCGCCTTGGTCCCCGTAAACTCCCAATTTTGATCGAAGAAGACGACGTTCTTCGGCGCAATGAGCTCTTGGAGCGTCCAGCCACGACAGAACCATTTTGATGACTTGAAAGAATATGCGGTTTGAGTGATGTCGAACAGGTAGGCGAAGCACACCGAAGCTTCTTTGTAGTACCTGAACATGGAGTTGATTGCCTCGCTGAGCTCTGCGCTGCTGGATTTGTTGATGCAGCACGTATCACACCATGCATACGAGAGTTTGTATCGCGACGAAGAAGCCATCTTACACGTCTCCACAATCTTCTTGTACCCAGGCTTCGAGAGTGTTGCTTCTGGACGGTCTTGCGGCGGCACTAGCATCTCCTCGTAGGTCACTTCGTCTTTAGTGAGACCCCACACGTGTGATAGGATGGCATATCGCTGATCAGGGTCTGCATGGTCCCGAACATGGAGCGCCAGCGTCGTAGTGTCGATAAAGATCATGATTGAGTGAATATGAAGAGTAAGATGCGTTCGAAGATTCAGAGTACTGACGACTTCCCAAGCATTCTTGGGGGCGGGAGGCGAGTTGATCGGATTTCGACCCCGCCGCAAGAGGTGCGGCTGAGGCTACATCTGTCCTCTAGCGTCTCGCGATATGCATCATGCCGTGTGTGTCAGCTGATGTCAGCGGCACAGATTATCGAGGAATTGCAATGCATATTCCTTGTCGTGTACATTCCAGTGGTCGCAGCATCTGCAAAGTACGGTCCACGGGTGGGAGGCGGGTATCGAAAGCGCTAAGCTCAATAGAACTAGCTTGGGTTCTAGTAGCGTCCACGGGTTGAGCAAGACCTCGGGAGCCTTGGAGACGCATACATCACAAATATGCTCTCATACGATGATTGCGTGGCGCTGATTACAGTGAGGGATCTTTTATTCCTAGGTAACTCGGAAAGGGTTACAAGTCGATGCACCAGATTTAACCACTACTCGCAACCTTGCCCTCCTTGCCTTCCCAGGCTTGCTTCTTCCCGCCTTTGACATTCAGCTTATTCCTCTGTTTCTCCCTCTCATCCATATCGATATTAATGTTAAAGTGCTGGCCTCTGATCTTCTCGTAGAACCTACCCGCAGTAATACCATTCATAGGTTCAAGCCACTTGCCAGTGACCTCAGTTTCGAAGGAATCAGAGTTGATGATGAGAGGTTCGTGGGCGCGAAGAACGAAAACGATCGAGAAGCGGTACTTTTTGTCGTCCGTCGAGGGGGTGTTTGGCGAAGGTTCCGGAGACCCGTAAGCTACCACTCGATGACCACCAGCTGGGTATCTACCATTAGAAAGTCTTTCGAGTTGCCGTCCAGCGAGCATAGTAGCACCCTTCCTCCCAGAATTTTCAACTACTTTCTCGACCTCGAACCAGTTGGCTCCATCCCAAACTTCCAAGCCAGGCACATCACCAACAACCACGCTTAGCAGTCCCAGATCAGCATGCGGTTCAGCCACAACCTTCGCCTCCCACCCCTCATATCTAAACAATCGCAGCATCGTCGCCGTCTTTTCCTTATCGGAAGCTTGCAATGCACCACAGGGTCCAACAAACTGTCTCAGCCCTTCGTCTCCGCCATCTGGTAGCCCAAGGGACGTCGAGATTCTACCCAACGTATTCGAGCAATGCTGTCCAATGAGGTCCCAATACCTCTTTGCAGGCCCTCTCAAGACTTCTGGACAGTACTCTAGAGTTCGCAAAGTGATGAACTCCTTTTCTCCGGGGATTTTGGACCAGCCTTCTTCAGACTTGAGCTTGTGCTTCCATCGCTGCTTTTCCCTATCGGGCTGATTGAAGAAAGCCTGGCTTGCTGCGAAGAGCTGTTCGTATGCGGCCTGCAGAGGGTGAGGCCCAGGCGCTGGGGCTTGATGCTCGTGATTTGTCGCTTCAGATTGGGATGGTGATGATTCAGGGAAAGTGACGGTCGTCCAGCCGAGAGCTGACAGGGTCTGTTGATGTTCTGGTAGGACTAAGGGTAGTGGCGCGGGCTTTAGTGGCAGGCGCGTCTCTTGCAAGATCTCCCGCGACGGTTGCGCATCAGCCTTTTTGTTGCTTGTCCCTTTCTTGGACCGAAATTTGGAGATGATGTTTGAGATGGAGAAGTGATGTTCTGATGACCTTGAGGGTAGTGTGGCGGCCATCTCTTCGAAGAACCAGGATGTGGACACACGAGACGCGAAAGAGGAATTCTAGGGGAGTGAGTATTTGCAGAAGAATAGGAAAAGGGCTGCGATTATGACTACGGGTATGGCACGGATATATCGAAGTTACGATGTGGAATGGTCTGATGACGTTTCCCGAACCGCACGAGCTAAGCCACAATTACACAGCCCCACCCGCGACCATAAGCTCACGGACTATCGCGAACAAGGCGTGCCGGTGAACACAACGCGCAAGACCAAACTTAATAGGGAACTCAGTGGTAACCGATAGTTGTAGAGAAGATGCAGCGTTCTGGACATAACATTGCTTAAACCATGTCTATAGGCTTGGTCTATTCTTGTTCTTCTCCCAAAGCTCCCTCTCCCTCTGTACAAACCAATCGTGCAGGATGGGCTTGATTTTGACAACGCCTTCGTCTGTCTCGCATCCAAACTCCATTTCCGGCTTCCATGTGCCTCCCTCGGCACTGATCTTCATGCTGGTCATGTTCTCCAATCGACACATTGCGAGACCTACTTGCCCAATGCCTGCAATGAATTTGCCTGTCGCACGACCTCTCTTGGTTTTGCCATCTTCATCTAGCTGTTTGATGTCTGTACCATGGTCTGGAAGGGCTGCGGATGCGGCAGGTTTGTCAATGTGAATGGGCAAGACGCGCTTCCGTACGATGCCGGTGTGCTTCGTGCGGATGGTAAGCTCCTGGCCAACGTAACAACCTTTCTTGAAGTCTATACCATGCCAGAGATCAATATTGCACTCCATTGGTAACGCACTCTCTCTTGGTATCTCCTGCGGTCCTTCGGGTATGCCGTTCCTGTAGCGTTGAAGGTGATATTCTCGGATATCCACTGGCTCCACCCCCTCTATTATTGTCGCTACGTCGGGACTTACGAGGTAGCGATGCATGCCTGGTGCACGCGGATCGCTCATCGCAGTGATGACATTGCCGGTATTGGCATTCTCGATCTCAGGGCCCCAAGCCGCCCACACGCGCATTTGGTCCGGTTCTACCTCCTCGATCTGCACCTTGCTCCGAAGCTTGTGTCTCTTCAGATGCTTCCTTAGAGACTCCATCTCGCTCTCATCTACCTCAATATAGCATGCCCAATGCTCCTTGCCCTCTAGTAATTTTGGCCACACCCAGACAAAGACATCCCACAATACGCGGCCGCGCGCATCTAGAAAGGCCGCGTAGAAGGGCGATTGACGGCTCGAATCGACATTGTTCGTTATCAGCCCCTGTAGGAACTTGACGGTATCTGGCCCAGAGAGGGAGATGAGGCGGCGATGCGGGAGCGGTGCACAGCCTGAGCTGGCAGCTTGCGAAGAGGAGCTCGTTATCGAGTATTGGCGCTTTTCGAATCGTCCGCGAGCATTTTCATTATGCAGCGGTGAGATGATAAATCGATCGCGACGGTACGGAAATGATATCGGCCGCGTGGGGATTTTGCCGTTTGAAGATGACGCGGTGCTGAAGGTTCGGTACGTATCGACGGCCGGTCTGCGTAGGGAGCGCACATTTGTTCGGCAAGCGTCGCATATGTATTTGGGCGTCCGTAGCGGTGCGCTCAGTGAAGAGGTCGCCATGGCAGTTGTGAGGGTGTTTAGTGAGGTGCGTGAGGGCTTGATCACCTGGGCAGAGCTCGAGATGCCTCGGCAATTACGGAGTTACGGCTAGAGCGAGATGTGACAAATTGATGTCATCGAATATGCTAGATCTGGGCCTTCAGGCCAAATGTACTACAAAAACGCTGGGAACGCCTAATCTATCAAACAACAGGTTGGGGATAACGCTAACTTCATGAAAAGTGTTGTTGGCCATCCAACGCCGTTGTTTGACGCGTCAAATCAACACCTAGTCGTTCTTTCGACCAGTTAATCTGGACCGCTCGCTGTCCTTCGCTTTTGAATTCGATGGCCCTGACTCCTCTGAATCGTCCGAGTCGTCCGAATCATCCTCCTCATCCTCGCTTTCTTCCTCGTCGCCACTTTCTTCACTGCTCCACTTATCATCCTCGCCTACAGCGAAGATGGTGTCGCCATCGAGACTCTCCCTGGGAGGTACGATGGGCTTCTGGGCTTGTGGTGCGGGCAAAGGCGATACATCGCGCGCAATGTTGTTGTTGTTCGACCTCTGGGCTGGGTCGTATGAAGGAGGTTGGTCTGCTCCTCTCTCTTCTTCATCAAGAGAGTCCCTCATCGAGGCAATCTCGAAGCCTTCATCATCTTGTGCAATCTAAAAGTCGTCAGTAAGATTGTGGGTGCTACATTTGCGAAAACGTACCTCATCACTCATGGCAAACCTTCGGTTGTTGGCCGTTGGTCTCCACATATACGCGACGAAACAGACGTCGGCCAGGTAGACGAGGTTTAGCCAGCCATCGAGCACGAACCATCGTGTTTGCCAATGGGTTGGCGCAAAGTCAGGTGTCGACGCTCCAGCAAAAGTGAAGCTGTTGATGAAGAAGAAACCAAAGATGACAACGATGCTCGTCAAGATGCACCACCATAATCTCTTGTACATGGTAGCCTTAACGTGCTGCTTGCGCTCCATCAAGTCCTTCATCGTGAGGTTTAGCGAATTCAGAGTCCAGATGTAGAATGCCGTGAGGGTAGCCGACAGAGGAAGGATGACTAGCAAGACCAGAGGTCCAGCGTCATCTGGGCGAACAGTAAGCGAAGCTACAGCGTAGATAACGCCGAAGATGAAGTGAGCTACAGCAAGCCAGCGAACGACCGTCATGGTCTTGCCAAGAGAAGGCTTGACAACGCCGTATCCCATGCACACGATCAACAGGAGGAAGAACGAGAAGGAATTACGGAAAGCGTTCAGCACGGCGACGACGATCATAAGAGCTTTGGTGCCGACGTTGTTACCGTGGCGGTTCTGGTAGTCGTAGTAGCCCCAGGTCATCAGCATCTCCACGACTAGGAAGACTAGGATAGCCGTGATGTAGTTCTGGACGGCAAGAATGTCGTGGCGATTCTGGAAGTATAGGAAGCCCCAGAATGCCAGCACAACAAAGTACACAATTGTGATGCCGCCGTAAAATGGGAGCTTGGCGATTTGGGCCGCCTGGAGCTCGCCATAGGCATTCCGGAATGTCACAATAGCCTCGAATTCCAGTTCCTTGTCTGCCGCATTCGCAGCCACACAATAGTAGCCCGTCTTGATTGGAACCTTTGTTTCTGCGGTGGAGACCGGGTATTTGATCGGTTTCGGGTCGTCGAGATTGATGGCGTCGGTTCGAATAGGCATCTGAGAGGCGTCTTCGACGTCTTCTGCAAGTACCCATTTGCCCTTATCTTTTTCGTCGCAGAGTTTCAGTTTTATCGATTCGTCGTCGCAAATGTAATGGCGATTTTCCTGGAGGAAGTCAGTTGGGTTATGCGGAGAGTATCAGGACCCACGTACATCATTCACGGGCAAGTCGGAAGGTGCGCCCAGAAGTAAAGTGTCTTTCCATTCCCAGATCACCAGGCTGACAGTTTGGTCCTTGATGCCCTCGTTCTTCTTGGGATCTTTTATGAACTTGACAAGTATGAAGGGATCGACCTTGCCTCCCCACGATTTCTTGCTGTACATGCCGCTGGACTCATATGAGCATGCTGCCTCTGGCTAACCCAAGATGCGTATCTTCCTACATACCTGCACTTTTGCGTCTCCTTATCGGAGAGCGTAACATCCATCGCTGCTACTGCTGTTATCGTAGTGAACAGCAGTAGAGCGATGTTGCGCAGCCGTGCCTTCATCTTGCCGGATGTGAGGCCAGCTGGCGGAGCTGACGGCTGGAGGTTTGCGGCGCTTCAGGCGGAGGTATGCGCTTCGATTCGAACTGGCGACAGCGTCTTCCCGTCAATTCCTGGTTAACGGCGGGTCATGGGTGGGAGTTGGTGTTTAGTTGACGATGTTTGGCTTGCGCGTCAACGTTCCCGATCGTCACCTACGGCCGCCTTCCCGGTAGCTGTTAGCGCGCATTCCCAGAATGTGGCGCAGCCGCCGGGCGTCAAAGGGCAACCACGACCAGAACCGCCGACGAGTCAGCCCTACCAAACACATTCACCAAAATCAGCCCAACACACGCACATCATGCCAGGCAAACATATTGCTGGTGCCTCTGACGAGCCTTGCAGACGATGCAAAGACCCTTCAGTTCTTGTTGTGCGCTCCGAGCCGCTTTGCCAGTCAGTTTACGCCACCTGGAGGGGAAGAAGAATTCGCTAAATTTAACATAGTGACTGCTTCGCCCGCTACGTGCATACAAAGTGCATCAAGCGCTTGGAATCGTTTCGCGTTAATTTTGGAGCAGAACAGCAGCGTAAGATCCTGGTACCCCTGTCCTTTGGGGTCTCTTCTACCACTCTCCTCCACGTACTGGACCTGCATCTCAAGACGCAAAAGAGCAAGACTGGCCGTACCGGATTTGAGATTAGCGCGATATATATCGAAGATCCAGAGCAAAAGGTGCAAGCTGCGCAGCTACTCGACAAGGCTCGCGAGCAATATCCGGACCATCAGTACGCCTCACTGCCGCTGCACGATGTATTCCGCCTTGTCCCAGAAGATGCCGCGATACGCTCGTTGGTGCCCCAGGACGACCAAAAGGCAGACTTGAGTCTCGAAGAGCAATTTGTTCACATGATAAACTCTCTCACCTCGGCCACGGCTCGTGCGGACGTGCTCTCTACCCTGAGAACACGGCTAATCGTAGAGCACGCGAAGTTGGCCGGGTGCGAAAGTATTCTCTGGGGAGATAGTACGACCAGACTCGCTCAAAAGACGCTTGCCGAAACTGCCAAGGGCCGAGGATTTTCTCTTCCGTGGCAAGTCTCAGACGGAATGTCGCCCTTTGGTCTCAACTTCCACTACCCACTTCGAGATGTCTTGAAGAAAGAGCTAGTATCATACACCAAGATGGCGGAACCTGGACTATCAGAACTCGTACACGAAACATCAATAGGCGCCACCCAAGCATCGACAAGTTCCAAGAATACTACCATTGACGACCTTATGACGCAGTACTTCGAATCCGTCGAAGAGAACTTTCCAAGCATCGTCGCAAATGTAGTCCGCACGACAAGCAAGCTCGAAGCTCGCCCCGATGCGCTCTCAGATCCGCAGTGCAGTCTGTGCAGTATGCCTGTATCTGGCGGCCGATTTGGCATACACGGCTGGGGTGGCGATCAGCAGGATGGCGATGACTTTGAATCCACAAACAACAGAAGGGATATTTGCTATGGCTGCACAAGATCACTGCCTAAAGCCACGATGAGCGCTAAGGGTCCTTGAACGCATCGCTGAACAGTACACTTTTCGGACTTCGGTGTTCCGGAATGCTGTTGAGTATACAAATCCAGGCGACTGTGCGAGGGTGCGCAGTCTTTCCCAGTTCCCGGGACTCTAGCACCGACCGGTGCCAGCGATGGTCTCCTCATAGGAGCGGGCCACAATACGCGGTACTCGCACTTCGAGTTCCCTGTCGGGTTATTACCATAGAAGTACCCACGCCGCTGCGAATACCCAACTCGCCATGCAGCACACAAGCTCAGCCAGCATCACTTTACGCTGCTTGTGTGTAGACCACAATACTATTGGCGGTGTGGGCGTTGAAAGACGTGATGCAGTAGTTTATTACATTCTGCTCGGATGCGGTCGGAAAGTTCATGTTCAGAGGATAAGATAGTCGCGAATAGATGCAGTATCCAGTCCGCCCTCGCAGTCTGCGTTCATGATCCAATTTTGCGCAGGTGGAAGGACTGAGGTGGGGTCTCCAGTGACCCAGCAGTTTGACACCAATGTGTAGTTTGCGAATTCGTCCTGTCTTAAGACAAGTGGGGTCGGCGCACCGATGGGAAGTATGACTTGGTCTCCAATGGCGACAGATTCAGGGGCCAGCGCCTGGTATTCGTTGTCTATGTTGATAAGCCGATTGAAACCATAGGACAATTTTCTCTCTGAGATCCGCTTTACTGTCCCAAACGGTATGGCTTCAATTGTAATGGAACGGCCATCCTCATTTACTACAACACTTGGTTTGTGCCTGAATGACTTTCCATTCGTGAACTCAGATGCGCATGCTGTGAACGGTTCCACGTCTAACCAACCGTCTCCGTCGATCGTAGGAAGATATAGAGGAGTGCATCTCCAATCAGGTACCCATGACGGCATAGTTCGTGGCACCTCATCATGGGTACGTTGGAAAGCGCCAGCACATGAAAGAAGGTTGTAAGCTGAAGTCGAGGCGAGTGCTGCTTGTGCGAATTCGAGATAGACTTGTTCGGTAGTCGTCGTGTATGTGGGCATGTAGTAGATCGTTGGCTCGTTGGCCGTCGACAGTTTCGGACGGGTGTCCGTGATTACGACATCACAAGACCCGCCTAAGAGTGCGAAAAGGCGGTCCCGATCATCGCTGCATTGCCTGTCGTTGAAACCATACATCATTGTGAGTATGTGAAACCTTGAATCATTGATCCCTCGCGACTCAGGCTTGTCATCCGATGCCCTATGGTCGTCCTGCCAAAATGAATACCAATCATCGTGACGGTACCACGTTTCCTGTCTGTTATAGTGAATACTAGTCATCCTTGCATTCAGGTATTCTTGAATGACCTGAGTTGGGTAAGTTAGAGTCACGGATGTCTCGTCTGACCTGAAGAGTGGTATTTACTTACCCATCTTCGCGAGAACCAGCTACTTGTTGCTGGATGTCTGCCTGGCTCCACGGTACCCAGAAAGACGTGCACGCGCTTAGAATAGCCATATATCTTAGCCATTCTCTTGACTTGACTGTCTCGCTCAGCTGAATTATCTTGGTTGATACATATGCTGTCAACCCAGTATCGTTGGTGGCCATCGTTTTCGGGCACCGAAGCGAGTCGCTCGATGACGTCGCGAAGATTGGAGGTCACCTTGAGATGACTTGTACCGTTATCACAAACAACGTCGTGGTTGCGGATGGGTTCACCCCAAACATACGAGATGGCTTCATAACTATCCCCCTCTTCACTCAAGAGACAGTGCTCGATGTCGCATTCGATTTTATTGCTGACCCCATTACCGGCCATGATTTTAACGACTCGAATCTCTTCATTGACATCGCTGAGAGGACGGTATGTGTAGGGAGTGCGCAACGCAACTTCTATTTGCGCTTGGGTGTGGCCCTGGATCGTTTTGTCGCCTAAGCCGTCATTGGCGGGCATGGCTCCTCTTGTATTTGAAGATCGCTTCGTATGCCGTCAACTTGTCGTAGCGGAAATAGAGATGAAAGAACGGCATGCTACTTCAGGCAGCCTCTAATGGCAGGATGAATGGGCACCATGTCGGGACTGTGCCACATGAGGGCTATGCTGCGATCGGCGGATGAAAGAACAGGCGCAGCAGTCGCATCCTTCGCACAGGTGATTGTGAACGTCATCGTCTTGGTATTCGCGCATCCAACATTCCGAGCCTTAGGCGGTACATGGTCAATTAATCAGGCGGTCACTGATTGGAGCGGTAACACGCCGTTGGCTAGGCCCCGGGCGGACGAAAATGTGTTAACACACACGGGATAAAAATTGCAGCATTATTCAAATAACAGCTGGTATGACGTTACTCTTTATTCTTCTCGACGTGAGTTTGCCCAGGTGTGAGTGTAGGATGTTGAGGAAGCGACCTCCGTGGCCTTCACCCCGCGCTAACCCTTGCTTCTGTTGATGATTGGCAACTGCGGGGCGTAAAAGGAAGGAGCACCCAACAAGCCCTAAAGCCTATTTTGCAGCCAAACCTGTACGGAGTAATTGGTTCATCCATTCATACCGCTAGTCTAAGGCGAACCGCACCCTCCGATCTAACAGTCCCGTCGAGTAAGGTAGTAAGCGTCTAAGCATCTAATCCATCCCTTTCAACCATCCGTCTAACGACATCAATAACCTCATTCTGCCTATCACTAACTCCCATCCCCGGTTCCTTGACCATGCTCTCCAGCACGCCATCCAACATACCCCTCAGCCGACTAACCAACACACCAATCCTTGCCCAACCCCTCAGCCTAATCCACTCATCAACCACCAAGCCCCTGCCCAGCGTATCAACCTTGATCTCTCCAGCGAACAACAGCAGACTGTATGCGTTGAACGGCGTGATGTCCCTAATGAAGACTTTACTTGTAGCCATCTTGTTGAAGTACGCAATGAATGAAGCGTTGTGGGGAAAGGTCTGGCTGGCGAAGAGTGTTGAAGAGGGATGAACGAATACGCGTCCGTTCTCTTGGTTGAAGTACTTAATTTCGCGGGCTGAAGGATCGAGTTCTACGGCTCCAGCTATGCCTGCTGCGAACTTCTTGTCGGGGAGCTGGATGCGTGCGATCTGCGGGTTGAAAGATCCGGCAATCAAAGCGCGTAAGAGCGCGTCGTTCGCGTTGTGTTTGTTGTAGTACGAGTGTGTCGAAGGGTTGGCGGAGGAGTAATGTGTGGGAATGAAAGAAATCTCCTTGAGAGACGACAGGTACTGGGTGCGATTGGACGCGATGTCGAACATGGTTTGGGGGTTCAGTCGGTTGTCTTGACACCAGAAGCGGAGGTCTCGTGTTGACGTCCCTTTGCTGCGCAATGCAGACCACTGTTCGTATGCTCGAAGGTCTACAAGTAGGTCTCCCTGGTTGTTAGAAAACGAAGCGCGGAGACGATCGAACTCATTTCGAGTTTCCTGGTCTCGCTCTCGTGGTGATATGAAAGGGCTGCGAGCCGTGAGAACAGACGCGATCGTCAGCACGGCTTCAAGACAGCCAAACGTCGCGCCATATACTAGAAGCTTGCCCAGTCGGAGATCTGCCGGGATCATAGACATGTGTCGACCAAGTGCAGTGAGTTCGTCGTCTGTGATGGCACCCATCTGCGAGAGCAATTGGATAGCACCCTCTACCGCTGTACTCTCTGGTGGTGTGAGCGCTGAAGCAAGGAAGCCTGTAACGTCCTGCACCCCCATTGCCTTTATGGACAGACACATCTGCTCAAGTGGCACACGTCGAATCTCCGGATCGGGGCGCTCCATCATCTTAGCTTCAGCGTTGCGTGTGTATAGCTTGTAGCAGTCGCCTGCTCGGACACGCCCCGCTCGGCCTCGTCGCTGTTTACATGCTGCCCTTGAGGCCCAGGTTTCGGCAAGGCGAACCATGTTGTTTTGCGGGTCATAGCTTGTCTCCTTTACCCTGCCCGTGTCGATGACAGCGACGATATCCTCGATAGTGATCGACGTTTCTGCGACGTTGGTACACGCGATGACTTTACGCTTGCCGTGGGGAGCGGGAGGGAAGACGCGCTTTTGCTCGACTGGCATGAGTGATGCATGTAGAGGCAATGCATGGAGGTTTGCGAATTGACTGAGCGCTTGGAGCGTGCGATCAATCTCCATAGTACCAGGTAGGAAGATAAGTATACCTCCATCCTTTGTACCGAGCTGGCGGTCAATGTGACGAACAGTCTCCGCGATGAGGTCGTAGTTGATGCCGAATCCGATACTCCGGAGATTCGCTGAGAACGATTTGTCTTCGGAAGCATCTTCGTCGCCCATACCATATCCCTTGAACCCGGTGAAATGTACGACATCGTCGACATAGTAGTCCGTCACGGGATGAGTGCGACCCTCAATCTCGACACGGCCTACGGGTCCAACCTCTTTGAAGTAGGCTTCGAAAACAGCAGCATCGAGAGTGGCACTCATCAAGATGACCTTGAGATCTTGCCGCTTTCGTAAGATCTGGCGCAAAAGAACGAGCAAGAAGTCTGTGTCCAAACTACGCTCGTGAACCTCGTCGACGACAACGTGACTGACATCGGCCAGGGCGGCAACGACATCGTCGGCATTGCCACCCGACGTTTGAAGACGTCTTAAGAGTACACCAGTCGTTACAAACGTGATCTTAGTAACTCCTTGCTTCTGTTTAGATTCTCCGCGGATAGTGTACCCAATCTCGTCGCCGACCTGAGAGCATCGCTCATCGGCCACACGATCAGCAAGACCAAGCGCAGAAATCCTGCGTGGCTGGGTGCAGATGATGTTCGCAACAGCACCGAGCTGTCGCTGTATCAGATCATCGAGGACGAACTGCACCGATTGAGTCGATTTTCCTGATCCAGTCTCACCTGAGATGATCGTGACCTTACAGTCGTTGACGGTGCGGACGATTTCATCCCTCAACCTCCACGCAGGTAGTGACTGCCGAGCGTTCATCATTTTTTGCTGAGCTAAAGATCCCTGCTTAGCTTGCCAATCAGACATTATTCTTTGACTAGTAGGCGTGGCGGGTGTCCAGTCGATAGGCCTCCTGGGTCGTCCCTTTGCTCTTCGTTTTTGAGTTTGCTGTTCCGACGAGTGATCTGCTGCTGCAAGGCCAGAGGAAACATCGGTCAATCTTCCTGGGTTCTGGAAGATATCACCGGCGTTCGTTTGGATCCAGTCTACGATATCGTATACCATAGGCATGCCAATGAAGTTGGCTTCAGCGTGGAGAAGCGCTCGGCGAATGATGCTCAAACGAATATATGCTGGGATGGCCGCCTCGAACGTGATGATAGGCACGACCGCGGGGTAAGGACCAAAAGGCTTCCTAACCTGTAGTATGAGCCGCTTTCCTTGTTGCTTAACGTCTAGCTCGATGCGACAAGATTCGGGCGCAGGGCGCGAGAACAGACCGTCGTATATTGCCTCAAGTGATGACATTTCCACCTCCCACGGATCGTCCTCCGGAGACGTCTCAGGCTCACCATTGCCCAGCGAGAGATCTTCCAGATCTTGTACTAGGCTACTCTCTTCCTCATCTGGTCGGAGTAGACGAGCTTGCAGCAAAGCCGCGGCCTTTCTCTCATCACTGCCTTGACTATCGTATGCTTCTTCGCAAAGGTCCATAGAGTATCCGGCTGCAGCAAGGCGCTTCACGGCACCCTCACGCTTGAGGTTAGAGCTAGCCATACTGACGCCAGCAACGTAGCCTTCTGGTAATGACCACGATGGTAGGTCGTCCTCAGGTACATGAATGAGAAGCCATTCAATAATCTCCTCGCGATCTTTGCAAATATCGGCGGCCTCCTCGACGTGGCTTCTCCGAAAGCCAAGGTTCGCGATCTCCTCGACTAGTCGGTTCTTTGTAGACGGATTCATTTCGATGCCGTTCGGGTTCCAGAGTGCGTCCCGGCGGATGAGACGCTCTGCCTCTTTGCGTGTCCTCTTCCCGAGTTCGATCTTGGGCACTCTCTCCCATCCCTTGAGCAAATTCCGGCTAGGTGCTGGACCGTTTGAACTTGGCATGGCGGCACCTGGCTGTTGGTTGTGGGCTTTCTGCGCCTCTTCCTGCTGCTTCTGTCTCTTCTCACGCGCCTTTGCTGCTGCCTCTCTCGCCTTCTCCCTTTCAGCAAAACCGAAGAAGGGGTCTGCCTCATACATCCATCCTTTGCCCTCTTGTTCATCCCTCTTCTTGAGGTCCATGAATTGTCCCTTCCAAAGGTCTTTATACGTGGGCGGAAGCATGGTGTGGAGGTTCTTCCCGCTGGCGACTCGGAAGAGAGTATAGGCGGCGGCAAAGTTGCGCGCTTCGACGGCAGTAGGCTGATGTGCTTGCTCTTCGAGCTCCGACGGGATCTTGATGGGAGGTAGGGTGGTGGTCTGCCGTGTTTTCTGGTTCATCTTGGAGAGTACCACAGCGTAGGCAAAATGCTGGTCGCCATCTTTCCGCTGCTGTAATTAGCAATGGCCTGCTATTACGGCGCGACTACTTACGATGCGATAGTCAGGCTTGCTCCACTGCTGTTTCTGGAAGTGTTCCGACAGGAGGTTGACCGGGAGCTTTCCTGTCCACGATGCGCCGGCGATGAGCGTCCTTGTATCCGGCTTCTTGGGGCCATCCTCGGCTGCGGGCTTTCCTTTGCCCTTACTCTCGCTCTGGGCAGCGTCTCCACCAGAACTCTCGCCCTTCTTCTTCTTGGGTTTGGCGTCACCGAAAACAATGAATGATGTATCCTCCTCAGGGGGCAAAGTCTTCTTGGCGGGCTTGCCGCGGGGTGGGTGAGCGTTCTTGGGCATCGTATGCGATATGTATAGTGTAGTTGTACGTCCTGGACTCCATAGAAGTATACTCAGGAAGAAAGAGTGGAGGTATGATAATGTGATTTGTTCGTGGGCGGTGAGAAGGGCGCAGTCGCTAATGAAAGGGCTCAACCACCGGGATCAATATTGCACCACCCTTCAGCGAGTCCAAAGAGGAAAGAAGCACCTATGATGGCAGCCATCGCGAGTTCCTGGCGCTTTCACTCGAACGCGATGCGCAATCCGAAATTCCGATGATTGCAGGGATGCCTCGGTACGCTTGGACCCACTCCGAGCCTCATCGTCATCGTTGCTTCACGAAACCCTCACGAAGCATTCACGAGTATCGATGCGCCCACTGGCCCCAAGCTGGATAGCAACCCGATTATTTCGAGCCCCTATCATACAAACCTCGAACAAGCATACGAGATCTTTTTGCAAACCCAAACGCGACAACAAATCGACAATGACGGGCCGCCCAAACATGACGGATACCCACGATGCCATTACGGACAAAGAGATAGCAGGCAGGGAGACGGCAAATCAAGCTCAGCCCGCAATCGACCCTGCCTCTTCGAAGCGCCCCAATGCATGTACGTCTCATCGCATGCCTTCAACAATCTCAACGCGCAACCTTAACTCACGGTGCAGTCACAGAACTCATGACGCAGTCGAAGAAACCAAAATCACCCATCGTTTCCGCCGCAGACGGTCCAAGTACGACACAGAAGTCTGCCAAGACAGCTAAGCGATGGGACGGACGGAATGGGCTGGGCGTCTATATCGAGAGCCCGGAGACGAACCCGGAGAACAAGATACTGGAGTACGACGATGACTTTGTCGTGATAACCGACAAGTACCCCAAGGCGAGGTATGTGCCCATGGTTTTTAGTAACTGGAGAGGACTAGTAGGCTGACGACCAACAAGCGTACATCTTCTACTCATCCCGCGGAAACAGGTCTACTACGATCAGCACCCACTCCAAGCTCTCTCCACAGACCCAGCCTTCCTCGCCGAAGTACGAGAACGCGTCGTTCGTCTCAAAGAACTCGCTGCCTACGAACTCCGACGTCAATATGGCGACTTCAGCGCTTCAGATAAACCATACAATGAGGCTTTTGAGGCAATGATGAGCTCTCCCGACCCACCACCTCCACCCGAGGAGCGCGCAGCACTCCTTCCACTCGGCCGAGACTGGTCTAAGGATATCGTAGTAGGCTTACATACCCACCCCTCGATGAACCATCTACATATACATATCTTCAGTCGGGACATGCATTCAGACTGGATGAAGCACAAGAAACACTATTTGAGCTTCAACAGTAGTTTCCTGGTTCAATTAGACGAGTTCCCTCTAGAAGAAGATAGTAAGAGGTTTTCTCCCGGAGATTGGCCTAGTTGGGACATGAAGTGTTGGCGATGTGGGAAGAACTTTAAGAATAAGTTTGCGGCATTGAAACAACATCTCAATGAAGAGTTTGACGAGTGGAAGAGGCAATGAATATGGCAATGTTGGCCCTGAACACCATGCCCGAATTCAAAATATTTTGACCCTGAAGCCTACATTGCATCAAGAGTTTGCGAACTTCCGTTGCTGACACCAATGTAGACTGCGGGGTGTTCATGAGTGGCAACTTGATTCGGGATACATTAAAAGTTGCTAATGTCTGAGATTCTACCAAGCCATCTCCCATCGGCGACTTTGTCATACAGATCTCCGTGCTCCCCCATCTAGCGAACGACCAGGGTCTTGACGACATTAGTGTCGATATCATGCAAGCTCGCTGGGAACTTGCAAGACTCGCCGAAAATACAGCTCTTCGTGCCCTTGGCGTAGTGAATCTTGTTGGGCGGTGCTGGGCAGCGGTGGCCATAGATACACCTAATATCCTGGCAAACACTGCCGTTGCTGCAAGGTGCCATGCGGGCGACAAGACGGAGGGTAGCCAACTCGTCGCTGGTAGGTTTGTACGCATGGAGATGGGTGCATTTGGTGTCGTAGGGGCATTCGGCTCGAAGGAAATGAACGTTGCACAATTTGATCTTCTTCATGCGGTCCACCTCAGCCTTATCGTAGTCCTTACACGGCGGATCGACGCGTTGGCCGGCGCGGTTACGTGCGATGACTTCTTCGCGGTTCACGGGCTTGTACACTGGGGTCTCTGTAACGGGTGGCGGCGGAGCAGCGGCCTTAGCGGCCCAGTTCAGCAACGGCGCTGGTGGATCTGGCTTGAGTGCCGGGAACGTACTGTCCGAAGCCAGTGTTGATGTTGAAGGCGTTCTAGGCAAAGCCATCATTGTCGCTCGGTTTGGCAAAGGACTGTCCATGATGGGAGACTTCGATGGGGCTGGGAACCGGCTTGGGAGACCGGTCGAAGCTACAGACGCCTTAGAACTATCGTTCGAGTCGATCCTGCCCGGAACAAATGCTGGTGGAAGGCCGTTGGCGTATGTACTGGCGGCGTATGTAGGTCCAGATCCCCAAACCACGAGCTTGGTCTCCCTGAAGAGACTTGGAAACTTCTTCGTTTGGTACGGCAGGCCGACGAGTTCCTACAGAGAGGTGAGGTTAGCGTGCGGACTGTACGAGTGTTCGTGGAACCCATGGCTCCCGCGAGTCAGTCATGTGCTATACATGCTACGTACCTTCTCAAATGGAACACCCTCAAGGAGAACCACCTTGTTTGTCACCTGAAGGCGATCGGAGCACTGCTCAAGCGTTCGCGCGTAGCCATTATCGTGTGAGCACCCGAAGAAGATCCGACGGCAATGATAATCTTGGGAGTATAACTTGAATAATTCTAAGATTGTCAGTACGGTCAGAAGCCTACATGGACGTCTAAACTCGGAAATAGCTTAGGATAGTGGGTTTTGAGGAATACAGTAGCACTCACCGATGATCTTCTCGTCAGCGCGATCTTTTCCCGCACCGACGTCGATAAAGTCGAACAATGTCTTTCCCCGCGTGAATCCACGCACGAAGTCCTCAAACTCGATGATGTCTTCATAAATCCCCCTGCGTACGAGCACGTCGCCCAGCCCCCGAACGTTCGCATAGATGCGGCAGGCGATGCGGTAACCGAATGGGATATCTTGGCACTCATTCTCGATATACTCGTGGATATCGGCGAACAATTGGACAGCAGCCCGGCGGCCACCTTGCTCTCCCTCGCGGAGGAAGTCGTCACTAAACTGATATGTAGTCAGCAGACTGCACTCAACTCGCAGTAGGTGGAGCTCACAATCATGCCATCGCCGTCAATCAGTACCATAACAAATGGATTCTCAGCCTGTCACGTCCAAGTCAGCTCCAAAGCGATGTGTGGCTGGATGGGATTACCATATTCCGCTGCAGGTTCCGGTGCGACCTCTCATATTGCTGCTTCTCATTTTGCCATGCGAGGATCCAGTTGCGATCGCGGTCGCGTTCGGTGGCCAATATCTGGTACTGTTGGTGCATATATTCATACCGATTTTTCATTTCCTATTGCGCGTCAGTCACGACTGAGTGATAGTGACAGTTACAGTGCACTTACGGTCATGAACTTCGCCTTTTCATCCTCGAACAGCTGGAATTGCTCGAAGCGTCTGGTAAAGTCTGCTAAATCGGCGTCGGAGGGGCCCGGTGAAGCCAGGCCAAGGCCGCTGAGCGAAGGCGACATATCGCAAAGGGCGCAGGCGACCGGCGAACAAGTGTGTGACTTAATGATAGAGAATCGAATGGCTGCGATTTACGTGTATGAGAGAAGGCGGAGAGAAAGCAGGTGCAGGAGGTTCGAGCGCTCTTTTTGCGGTTAGTATAGATTTTTCAAGCCCGAATAGGAAACCGCAAGTGAAGGTGAGTTACTGCGGTGACATTAAATATCACTGGGCAGTGAAGACGGCCAGTCTGGCTTTTAACGGTATGCAGCCATGCGCAACGCCGGCGGGCAGCCACTCCAAGGCGGTGTATATGCAATTATAGCAAACTACAGAATCATGGGTGCCGCTGGGTCTGAAATAGAAGGAGCGACATTTGCGGCGTGGATGCCATGTACAACGCGATATGGCGCGTACCAGGGAACAGTCTATACTTGGAAGGGGCCAGCCACAGAGAGTGTCAAGCGATAGCTCATCTTGACGCAAGGATGATAGAAATAAAATGACCTAGAAGTCTACATTGCGCTCAGGTTTTGCGACATTTCGTGTTCATACTGATGTAGGCTGCAGTGCACCTGACCACCATCTTCGTTGTAGGAGAGGAGGTGGAGAGACGGCGTCGCATTGCCGCGGCTCTAGTTCCGTCCTCCGACGCCAAGAGGCAGCTGCGCCCGGACGTCACTTCCCAGAAGCCACGTTCGAATTACCCCATCTGTTCCCACACGCCGTCCCTCCTCCTCTCATCCCTCTCCCCGTCTTGTGTCGTCTTCATTATGGTCAATTGGAAGTTTTCATCTCTGCTCCTGCTCTCTCTCCGAGCTCTCGGCACCTATGCTGAGCCCGCGGTAAGCTCGAAACTTTCTGACGCAGCATGACATCAGATGGCTAACGGTCGCGTCTCCAGGCTGAGAAGGTGCAACAAGCAGTAGACGAGCCGCAAACGCCCAACCTCAACGTCGCCGTTTCCGTCTCTTTCCCCCAGTCTGAGATCTTCGGCGTCAAGCTCGTCAACGGCCAGGCCACCCAGGCGCGTCTGTCTGTGGTCAACAATGAGCCAACCCCCGTCGGCGTCACCATTGTCGGTGGCTCGTTGATCCAGGAGATCAAGGGAGAATCTCAGGTCCTTCGCAACCTCACTCGCCAGCGCTACTCCATCCAGATCCCCGCTGGCGCCAACGAGACGATTCCCTACAGCTTCACGACGGAGATGCACCCCCAGAATCTCCGCCTCCAGCTCGTGACTGTGCTGAAGGACAGCAAGAACAACCTCATCACCGTCCCGGTCTACAACGAGACTGTCAGCATTGTTGAGGCGCCCACTAGCTTCTTCGACCCCCAGATGTACGTAGCAATCCACCGCTCAGCCTGGACACATGTACTTACTTCTCTCTAGCATTTTCCTGTACCTCGTCCTCCTTGGCGCATTCGGTGGAACCGTGTACTTCATCTACAACACCTGGATCTCTACCTTCTTCCCGCAGAAGAAGGGCCGCGGCAAGGGTGGTGAGCGTGCTAAGGCGTCTTCGGGCCAGAGCAAGAAGGTCGACCCCGCCGATCAGGTTGCCGTCGTTGGTGCTGATGGTCCTGCTGTCACTTCTGGCGCAAAGGCCTACGATGAGAGCTGGATCCCAGCCTCGCACCTTCAGCGTCCCGAAGCCAAGCGCGTCCGCAGCGGCCGAGCTTAGATCCCCTGAACTCGACTTTGAATTCTTTGGGACAATTGGATAATACGAACGGCATGTCAGCATGCGTGCCGTGTGGATATGCTTGCATGTTCGGATACCTGGGCGCAGTTGTGCGCTGCAAGATACGTCAATGCTGCGGATGCAGAAGGCTTGGATAATGACTTGGATGTACTATATTGCGACGTCTAAAAGTTGGCCGACCTTGTACGATAGGAAAAGTAATGTCATTGCTCTGACTACGACTTGCCAGACATTTGCCTGAACGTGCTGTCGTGGATGCAGCCTTGGAACACCGTTACACCGCAACAATGACGAGACTGGGCTCACATGTTGGGCTGATTTCTCAATACCCGCGGAGTCTGGCTTCTCACATGCATTGCTTTGCAGTTACACCCGCAGTATACATGAGTACTACGCATATATCTTCGCGCTAGTGCAAGCCGCAAAAGAAACGTTGTAGAGCAGAGCCGGTATTACACCGTTCGCTGAGGTTACCTGTGATCCATCAGCTGCCCCGCATCGCGATCTCCATGCCAGTGTCGTACATGCCATCTAAACTTACTCCGCTCAAAACAACATCTCTCGTATCCAGACACACGGGAGATCCTCCGACGTCGGTGATCTACCTCGCGTCGTATCTTTCATCTCAGGCTAAAACTTGTCCAAACATTCGGTGGAAGCATGCTAGAAGCTCTGTGGTCGTCAAACCAGACGCCGTTGCTTCGCCCTAGCCAGTGTTCGCGGAGGCCCACCCCGCACTTTAGGCTCCGTGCATGACGTGTCGCAGCCTCCCATCTCCAAACAAGCACACACACGAGCACCATACAAAGTTCAAACACGCACCAACTACCATCACACGCCTCGGCACCTTGGCTGCTTCTCGAATTGTGTAGGTGTGTAAGCTGCAAGTACAATGCGCAATGCGATGCGCCTCTCGGCCCTTTTTTGCTTTTCCGGGCGTTTGGGGGGTGGAGGTGGAGGGTCGGCTCGCGCAAACTGGGGGAAAAGACAAATTGCTCAAAGCACCGTAGTCGCACACGGAAAACCCACCCGGGGTAACGGGAGCTAGATGAGCTGGACGCAACCCACGATCGCGTGCATGTCGTTTAGTCTGCGTTGGTCGTAGTCGTCTCCTTTGGAACGAGAATTGTCCGCCGATTGGGTCCGGATCCGCATGTGCAAGACGTGATGCTCACGATGCCGTGGGGTGATCATGGCTCGAAACGGGAAGGGCTTCACATGTCACGGCGCGGGCGGGTTTGGGGGGCACGCGCGCTAGAGGCTTGCGTGGATGGGCGAGTTGCTTGTGACTCCGAGGGTAGAGAGTTAGTGTGGGTCTAGTTGGGTGAGTCAATTTGGATTCGTGGATGGATATAAGATGAGTGGTTGCTGCTCTTGCTACGCTTTTTGCTTATAACAGACATTCCATCAGCTGGGAGGAGACATCCAACATCCGGTTACTACACATCGTACCATCGTATCGACGACATCAAATAACAAGCCCTGCTCTTATTACCACCGAACAATCACCACGTTTCATCCTCGAGCATACGACATCAGACCAACAACACAGCTCGCATACACAATCACAATGCCGCCAGTCAGCCAATTCCCACCTGCGCGCGTCTTCCTCAAGAACGCAACCTCATCATCTCCATCATCCATCAACATCTCGACATCACGACGAGCCAGCCTGACATCGCCACTAAGCCCCAGATACGCAACTTCGTCAGCGTCGAATGCGTCGCAGTCCATGGCACAGATGTTGTCGCAAAGACCAGGCGCTAGAGAGATGGATGGCGGTGCGAGACGAGTGACGAACTGAAGCATCGAGTTACTATTCAATTTCAGCGAATAACGCTCGACCCACATACGACTCCAAGGACATCACAGTCAACAGCAGATCGCTTGCTTTTGTCTAGCAGACGGACCTTGATGCGACACGAACGCCGAGACGCGAAAATCTGTGCCACCATATCGCGCCGTCAGGAGTGACGACCCAGAGTGCAGAGAACCGCTTGGATGTATCGCAAGACCAAAATTATCATGCAAGGACTTGCACCAAGCGCGGGACGCATGTGCTCACTCACGAAAAGATCGTGGGATGTTTGGCACAGGGCACTACAGAAGTTGCCAACGGCGTTTGGGTGTGGTTGCATTATATTTAGATTCACGATACCAAAGAATTCTCTTCAAATACAAAAGTTTACTTGCTGTATCATACCTCTCCCCATTGAGTCACAATGTCCCCTTACGCAGATCAGACAACACAGTACGCGTTCAAAGTCACGGTATCCACTCCGGTAATCTGAAGCTGCTCCTGTGATCAACCCAACGCGGACCAGCTCGCCCAAGTAGCACAATCCCTACACTGTCTCATCATGAAAACGGTGCATTTGTGATAATTCAGATCTATAACGACTGTGTGTATTCATGAAACTACATATGTCATCACCATCCCTTTGAACTTAAGCCTTGCCGTCGCAGTAGAAGACGCACGCACGGCCCAAGCTCTCAGCCAGAGATCTTCTTACCAAACGAGCTCCGCGCCACCAAACTCCTGAACCTCTTGCCAAACACATACGCCGGAATGGTAAGCGCACAAATTCCCAGGTTGATGACCGTGATGCCGTCGAACACCGCGCGTGGTCCGATGTTGGCCATGATGCCGTTCGCGTAGGTTGTTGCGATGAAGGTGAACACCGCCTTTGTGAAGTTGATGGTGACGAAAGCCTGGTTTGCATCTTTGGGGTGGCAGTCAATGACGTAGGTCAGACTGGCTGTCGACGCGAACGGCACGGAGAGCGAGTGAATGGACATGAATACCAAGGGCCAAACGATGGGGTAGCCAGCAGAAGTGCTCATACCAAAGCCGAGGAAACCGATTGTCGCAAAGATGACGGCAGGTACCATCAGAGTCAGGCGGAATTCAGGCTCGAAGACACCCTTGTTGCGGCGGGCCATGAACTTCGCGAGAGCATCGGCTGTCCAGCCGGACAGGGGCGAGCCGATAAGTGCGACAACGAGGAGAGGTAGGTTGGTAAGACCAACTTGTGCTGGGTTCAGCGAGTACGGTGGCGCGGAGAAGATGTTGACGGAGAGAACGGAGATGGTGAGCAGCCACGTCTAGAAAGAAAAGGAATAGTCAGCGCATGTCTCGCAGAAACCGGATGAATTACTCACAAAGTACGACCCATACACGATAGTGCTGAACAGCACTGCTGGGAATGCGATGAGCGGCACAGGCTTCCAAGCGTTCTTCCAGAATGATTCTTGCGACAAGCGGCCACGGAAGAGCGCTAGCTGGCTGTGGTATGACTCTCTCTCTTCTTCGAGCT